GAGCTCTAGAATTATGCTTCAGCACTGTACATCTCTTGATGTGAAACATCTCTTCTGACATAGTCCTCTAACTTCATCCCAGAGCTACAATTCCTAGAGCATAGAATAGGTGAAGAGGTAATGCAAAAATACCTGGCTACTCTAAGTGAATCTCCAGGGCTAGATGAACTTCATCCAAGAGTATTAATAGAACAAACAGAAGTAATCTCAGAATCACTGTCAATAACCTTTGAGAACTTCTGGAGAACAGAAGCCCCAGCCGACTGGAGGAAGGTATTTGTTGTCCCCATCATGTTTTTGTTGTCCCCCATCATGTTTTTGGGGAGTGAGTGGGGGTGGGAATGAGAGAGGGGATGTGATTTTATGTGAATTGTTGATGTTTTGAATTCTATGCGCCACCCCGATTGCCTGGCAGAGGGGCGGGATATAAATAAAAACTATTATTATTATCATCATCATCATCATCATCATCAAAAAAGAAAAAGAGGACGAAAATAATGACTGCCCAATCAGCCTGATATCAGCATCAGGAAAGGTTCTAGAGCATATCATGAAACAGACAATCTCTAAGCATTTAGAAAGGAATGCCATGATCACTAGAACAGACAAGGGTTTCTCAAAAACAAGTCATGCCAGGCTGATCTGAACTCTTTTTAAAATAAGAGTTACAAGTTTGGTAGATGAGGGGAATGCTATGCATGTAGTATACCTTGATTTCAGTAAGGTCTTTAATGAAGTGCCTTATGATATCTTTGCAAAAAAAGGTTGTAAAATGCAACTTTAGGTAGATTTGTAATTGGTTGACAGACTAAATCCAAAGGGTGCTCATCAATGGCTCCTATTCATCCTTGACAGAAGTGACTAGCAGAATATCACAGGGTTCTGTCATGGCCCCAGTGATATTTGACATCTTTATCAATGACTTGGATGATGGAATAGAGGCCATGTTTACCAAATTTGCTGATGACTCCAGATTAGGAGAGGTAGCCAATTAATGGACCACAGGCTGAACATGAGCCACCAATGTGAGGCAGGAGCTAAGAAAGCCAGTATGGTACAAGGTTGCATGAATAGAAATATAATATCTAGATCAGAAGTAGTAGTGCTACTCTAGTTGACTTTTATCAAACTTCACCTGGAATGGTGTGTCCAGTTCTGGAAACCACAATTCAAAAAGCATATTGACAAGCTGGAACATGTCCAAAGAAGGGCATCCAAAATGGCAAAAGGGTTGGAAATCATGCCTTATGAGAGACAGCTTAGGGATCTGGGTATGTTTAGCCAGAGAAGGTTAATAGGTGACATGATAGCCATATTTAAATATTTGAAAGGGTGTCATTGAAGATGGAGCAAATTTGTTTTCTGCTGCTCCAGAGACAAGGAAAGGGAGCAATAGATTCAAGCTATAGGAAAAGATATTGTACCAAAACATTAGGAAAAACATCCTGATAGTAAGAGCTATTTGACAGTGGTATGTGCTACCTCAGAGTGTGGTGGAGTCTTATTCTTTGGAGGTTTTAAAACAGAGGCTGGATGGCCTTCAGTCCAGAGTGCTTTAATTGTGTCTTCCTGCTTGGCAGAGGGTTGGCCTGGATGGCCTTGTGGTATCTTCCAACTCTTGCAATCGATTCTATGATTTAAGGAGAGTCGAAACACTTAAATCAGCTTAGAGTGTTTTGTTTTGTTTTTAGTAGAGAAGCTTTAAGGTACAGTAGTGTTACTTGCAGTTACACAGGCTAGCCCTATACACCAGTTGCAAAAGATGTTGATTAGTATTTGCAGAAATACTTTCCAACATTAAAATTAACACTCTGTATTCAGTGCACTGGGCTTTGGATAATGTTTATTGTACCAATGTCTATTTTAATATAATTTTGATATCAATAGATAACACATTCTGTCTTGCATGTCTTGATTTTTATCTCTACCTCTGTTATAGCAATATAAATCTACTGTATATTCTAATTCTGAGAGAAGTCAGTTCAATTTATGTTAAATATACATGTTTTGAATTTCAACCCCTATCTGCAACACATTTGCTTGGATACAAGAGCTGGTTCATGCACAAAAGCAACACTAAGCATCAGTTTCACAAAAAGTCTGGGCTTATCTGAGGTTTTGAAGGATGAATAAAGCCGTTACTCCTAACAGAAAGAGGAATAAGACAAGATGCTTTGTAAATCTAGAGGAAACTGTCACACATAGGAATATTATTAGAAATCAGCACTTTTTTACAGATCCACAAGGTATCCACTAGAATTCACATAACTGGATCATAATTATTATGTAACTGTGAAATGGCTGAATGGACTGGAATGAAGTGTGACACCTGGTGGGTTGGAATGATATGCTTTCAATCAGTGATTTTGTTATTTAAAGCCATCAACAAGAGTGTCAGGAAGAGTAAGGGTAAAATGTTAAGGAAATTCTGTGCTCATGTTTACAAAGAGCTGACTTTACAGTTTGCACAGTGTAGCCACAATCAGCAAACATTTCAGCACAAGTAAGGAGTTTAGCAGTACAGAAAGTATATGTCTGTCTTCAAAGCAGCTGGCTTTGGTCCTAGTATGCTGGATGTTCACAGCACATGCATAAACTCTCTTTCAAAGAGGAATTACTAAAAAGGCATTGATGACACAATTGAAAATTACTTGTAGACTATGTCTAACGATTTCAACACATTATGATATTACATACTGGCAAAGATAAATGATGTACAATACTGTTTCATGTAGCTTTTAACACTGCCATACCAAAAAGAGAAACATTTTGCATATGTGATTGTGTGAATGCAATATTGGGGGGAGTGCTGTTGTGAAAATTAACAAAAGTTATGTTGAACTCAAATACCAATGAAAGATAATAATAGTAAATTATTTGAGAAAGTGTGCAAAGTACTTGTGAAATTTTCAAGATGTGGAAAAATACTATTGAGACAAATACACATATGTGCATGTGTGCATGTTCACAGACTCACAGAGAGAAAGGGTTCAATGAAACCATTATCTAAGAACTGAAAAAAAATAAAAGGCCCCATGGTCCTTTATAAACTGCTATAAACTTGATATGAGCAGGCAGTGAAGCATCATTTTGATGAAGTAACAGAGGACATTTTTACTGTATCAAAACAGAATATATCCCAGGTAAAGTACCAATTACACACCCA